TACAGTTGGATCTTTTGCTAGAATAATCTATATAATATGACTCAGGCATCATAAAAATCAGCTTTCAGAATTAAATGCACACTCCTATGTTCCACTAAATATTAAACAAATTTTAGTAGCCCTTACACAATTACTGGCTCAGGACCCAATGCTTTTCTAAATCTAACCCTGACAAAACAAAAAATAATGTGGTTTTATAACCATGTAAATTATGGATTACTTTTATTTTAGTAATTTTATTGCTTACTCTAGAGAGAGTCTTTTCATTAAATGGATAGTATACAAAACATAAAGCATTCAGCCTTTATATGGATTTCAAAATTTGTATGCTTACTGAGCTCAGTGTTCATTTCATTCTTGTATTAGTCCTTGTTTTCTGAAGTATACAGTTCTAATTTTGCAATATCATGGTGTATTTATCACATAGCTATCTGTTGTTCAGGGATTAGAATAGGAGTGTCTCGCTCAGGTCATTTCTGCAAACTTGCAAAGGTGGAAAAATTAGTGCACTAATCCATTCTAGATGATCCGTTCTGTGATGACTTGAATTGTAAGCTACTTTGACTAGTTCTTTACTAGATGTTTCTAGTCTACTAGAAGTCAACCTCAATGGGGGCGAATGGGGAAAAGGGAAAGAAAATGTTCTTTTAAAACTTCCTCTAGTCAGCTCTATGCTATATTCTTTACAAATTGCATCAAACTGCCTACTGCATACTTGAAGTAGTTGCAAGACATCAAGAATAACTCTCACTGTAATTGGGTTTTTTGTTAGTTTGCCAGTTTTGCTGCCAGCTCTACTAGATGAGAGAGGCAGAAAGCAAGGAAGTTCTGAGTCATATTACCTGACACAACATTTCTTTTCAGTATATTGAGAACTCTGTATATTTTTCAGTATGACGGAATACTTTTATGAACTATAAAAATGATATACTATATGAAATGTCAAGATTCAGGAATGAGTTACCTCTGAAAATGTCATGGGATTAAAATATGATTGCTCATACTGTTGCTGCACATTCTTATATATATTTTGTAGTTTGATCTTGTGTTGGTTGGGGGTTTTTTTGATGCTTACTATTTTGTCACTGACTTTCCTGTTTCTATGTGTTTACTCAGTTGTGTGTGATAATTGCATGTATCAACATTATGCTGATGGCTGCATTCAGCCATTGCTAGTTTTCTTGTTTAGCTTTGAAGTTCTTTAGGTGTCTTTCAGGTTTTATCAGTATGGATGAGCGTGCCTGAAAAGTAAATGGAAGCATAATTAAAATCTAACTCTTGGTCCCCAGTTGCCTTTTTATCCTGCTGTGACTCTCTGATTTGAATTTACTGCATCTGGGTGGAGATAACGTAGGGTTCAAATTCCTGGTTTTTATTACAATAAAACTAGGGTTAGCAGGGGTTAGCTCCTCTGTACTGCTTTCCACTGTTCGATATGTTCTCTTACTTATACTGGTAGTAGCTGCATAGGAATCAGGTACGATTTATGCCGGTTGAAATTTAGCTGCATGGAGTATTCTTAGCAGATAGTGTGTTTTTCAGGAGGTGGCCACTATGTGTTGATATCCTCATATCTGATTTTACCGTCTAATTTTAAATTGGGATTCACAGACCATAGCAGTAGGATTTACTTCATGTAGCTAGCACTAAAAATATGCTGTAAGAATCTCCTTGAAACATATGACTCATCTGCCAAGAGAAATAGTGCTAGAGCAATATTTATGCTCTTTTTTTCCCCAGTCAGTTCAAGAGCAATAAATATAGTTAAAGCAAGACTAGAAAATATTGTTTTGACTAGAGACAAGAACAAATAGAAACCTTTTTTCCCAGCTTTCTTCCACATTGGGAGAATTGGGAATGGAGTCCAAAACTTGTGATTTCTTCTGCATAATCAGTTTCAATCAAAGATATGGCTGTCACCCTCAGATTTTGAGAAACTTCTGATCTGACTCCAAAGCGGTCTCTGCCTTTTGTCCAGGATTTCTTTTCATTTCAATGTCAATATTTTAGTAACGCACTTAGGCGAAAGAAACTAAGACTTGATAAACCCAGTAGTGAACCTAAGTGACAGAACAAATAACTGATGAGTTACAGATCAAATCCCAGAGATGAATGAGACTTTAAGATTTGTACTGCTGGATAGTGTGACTGTAAGGACAGAAAGAGGTCTGAAGTAATCAGAAACTCGATAAAGACCGTCAGCCCTGCTGTAAGGTTATTGTTTTCTGAAATGAGCTGCATCTTGCAGAGTCGGGCCAGAATGGGCTGCCTCGGTCAGTGGCTCTGTGGTAGAAGCCCTGTGGTACACGACACACCCTGTCTAGCTTGAATCCTTTTCTCTGAAGTGGATTAATGTGCAACATCCATACTGAGCATTAAGATGGTGGTTTTGGCCTAATGCTTATCATGCATTCTGCTGTCAGTCCTCTCTTCAGTAGCATGTCCTAACAAAATCCAGATCCAATTAAAATCTCTGAAGAACAGCCTCTCTTTGTAAAGACGACACATTCTAAGGGTAACAAGTGACATTTCCTGCCTTTTCTCCTCTCATCAGCTTTGAAGTAAATAACATAACATTAAAAGATTTTGATATAAAGCGGTATAAATGAGTATATAAGCAGTATGAATAAGTATATAAAGAAGAAATATATATTTCAAGGGCAGGGAATCTTTCAGCTGATGCCTCATATAGATGAAATAGGCTGTATGATAGTTCTGTTTTGAAGTAGGCCGCTCATATTTTTACTAAAATTTTTAGGAACATCTTGTGGCATTTTCTTAACACTAGCAGAAAGCTTATTACATATACAAAAAGGCTGGTGTTGATCTTTCCATATTATATCGTTGTCATTCCCATAGGTCTCATTTGTTGTACAGTGCCATTTATATACCCAGCAGCGACTCTGAATATAGAAACATTGGAAGTAATTTATTTCTGATTTCTGTGTCCTAGAACCCTGCTGGCATTAGGCTGCCATGTTGGAATTGCTGATGAACATGCTGAAGAAAAAGTAAAAAAAATGAAACTGCCAAAGAAGTAAGTTGAAATTCAGATGCATCTTTTTGTGAGGCAGTGTGAGTGAAGTTGTCATATCTACCTGACACAAAAGCTTTATGCTATTATGAAAACCAAAAGCAACAGACATCATTTGAATGTAATTACCTCATCTGCTCTACTTTCTAATAAATTTTTCAGCCTTGTTTTGTATATTCTTGTCTGTCGTCTTAACCCTTTGCTTTATCATTTCTGCCATCCTGTTGTAACAATGAAGATTGTAAAATGCTAAGTATAAGCTTCTATTTATGTCAGTCCTACAGAATTTTGGTGTCACAGCCACACTGGTTACAATTGGGGAAAATCACATTTTTAACTGACAGTTGTGCCAGAATTTTACCTTTTCTAATGCAGCATCACTCCACAGAAGAGCTTTTTTCGGACCATTTTGAACAACTACCTGAAGTGTACTGCAAACACAACTTTTGCTGATGGAATTTTTCTTTCTATCAGAAGTTTTTTCCTGGTATAACTTTAGGTTTTTGAATAAAGCATCCTTCAGTAACGTTTTATTTTAAAATACCTCCCTGAAATATTCAAAGTCTTTATTTTAATAAATTCTAAATACTTAGTGTTTCTATGGGTTTAAAAAAAGTCTACATGAAATGGGAAAGGAAAAAAGAATTGTCAGAATGAAAAGAAAAAAGTTTTTTTAAAAAAATTCAATATGTTTAATTTTCTCTTCTAAAGCAACTCATGTAGACTGGTGAAAATCTTTAATCAAGAGAGCAGAGTATGGACTAAGATCACTTGAAAACATATCTACTGCTTTTTCCATAACTTTAGGTGGTAGCACAAATAAAAATTCCATAATGCTTGTTATAAATCAGTGGCAGATCAATATGGTAGTGATAATGTGCTGTTGAAACAGTTAAATTTTCAGCTTGAAAATTATTCCATATTACTTTACCTACTTCATAAAAAAATCTGTTAGTATAAGGCCAGCAGAGAGCAAGATAAGACCAGTAAGACACCGAAGAGCAGACGACTGAGCATGAGCTGGGATTTTAGCTACCTGTTTCAACTAGTAATATCAGTCTGCAACTAAAGACAATTCTCCAGCATGAATTTGCACACGCAACATGCTTTTGTTATTTTCCTTAGTATCCATTGATACTTATCCTTGACGAGTATTCATCTGCATCCCGAAATAAGGTATACACATCCTCTATGACAAATCATGAGCAACCTTTGAGACCCCTGCTTCTCTGACCCTGCTCTTATATCAAAACAGCTGTGGCTATCGTAGCACTTGTGCAGGGGAGCATGACAGGAAAGAACGCCAGCCTGACAAACATGTTAATTCTGTATCATTCACTATTTCCATTACTGACTGGTTCTCCTCATCTCGCTGAAGCTACTTCACAGCTACCTGAGGAGATGTAAGTGTGAGGGCAGTTAGCTAGCGCACGGGAGGTTAGCAGCACAACTGACAACTGCTTCCTTAATTCTAGAATGGAAATTTGCCAGTTGGTAACTATATGAATGGTTGGTTTTGGATTGACATTCTTGAATTGCTGTTTTCGGACAAACTTTTTTTTTTTATGTGGCAATTTTGGAAGATGGTCCAACCTCAAGTTTATAAACGATAATCTCCCTTAAAAACTGCTTGTTTTCAATTATTGTTTTCAACCAATAATTTGTTTAAATGGGTTTTAGAATAGTTATCACAGAAGAGAATTAATTAAGATTTGTAAAGTATTTGAATATTTTAGAATATAAATTGGGATAAATACTGTTTCTTTTTCTGGATTTCTCTTTGTCAGTCCAAATAAAGAAAATAAATACAAGAAAATGCCAAAGTTATTTAGAAAATAATTAGACAATTATTTAAACTAGCCATTCTTTAAACACCCCAGCACATATAATTTCAATGAGAGAATGATGTTTATTTTCCACAGACCCCTTTCGTTATGACCAAAATAGCTCTTTTTTTTTTTTTTTGTCAGTATGCTTGAGGAGAAGTACTCGGGATATTCAGGGCATGTCCACCAGCTCCAGCCTGGTCTCTCCTGGGGCCGCAGGGAAGCACCAGCTCTGGCATCTGGAGCGCCTCTGCACACTCCCCCCTTCTCTGGCCTTGGTTTCTGCAAGGCTGTTTTTCACACTTTTTTCCTCATTCCTCTGCCTGTGCAGTGTTTTGCCCTTTCTTAAAAATGTTTTCCCCAGCGTGGCTGAGGGGCTCAGCTGTGCCCTGTGGCGGGTCCCTTTTGGAGCCGGCTGTGTCCCGCATGGGGCAGCCCCAGCCTCTCCTCACAGAAGCCGCCCCGCAGCTCCCCCCAGCACCTGGGCATAGACACCCAGTACAGCCCCTGTCTGTCTGCCCCCTGCTTTGCTCTTCCTTCTCCCCTTCCCCTGCACGTTCCCTCATCAGCTGAGGTAAGGGAACCAACATCCACCACCATGGTGATGCCGCATAGTGTTGTAGGTTTTGGCTGTAGATTTAGTAAGTCCTGATGTGCTGCATCCATCACCATATGCATTATGTCCTTTATTGAAGAAGGTTTGGTCATAAGTAAAGTGGGAGGTGACTATAATTAATTTGATGGGAACAACTTCATAAAAGTAAACAACACTTCGTTCTTAGGAGCACTAAAAATAGGAAGCTGTCTCTCTGTTCTGAAGTCATGCTTAAATTTTAAACATTTGCTCCTATGATTTGAAGGATAGTTAAGGTATGAAGTATTATAAAGACAAACTTTTATTAGATGGACTTCATATGTGACCTTGAGTAAGCCATTTCATCTGCTCTGTCTCTCACGTCCCTGTATGTAATAGGAAGAATGTATTTTCTTGCTTCAGTTGGAGGTAGGTAGAATTTAATAAGTATTGTGAAGTGCTCAGAGGTAACAATAATAGTGTTCATATAAGTATTTAGATAAGCAACATCTTAATCTACTACTTTAAATACGTGAAAGTACTGAAATACTTCAAAAACATTTTTAGTTAAGACCATTTTGGGTAGCTTTCATTATCAGCTACTTCATCCCATCAAGTTGCAATTAGCTTGAAACAAAATCAAATGTCAGTGCGTTATTATTCTTTATGTTCAAAGACAGATTCTTTATATAGGTATATTGCATACATGTCACTTTGTTCCTTTGAGGTTTCCATTATTTTTTTCTTACTAAAAAGTAACTGCAAGTTGTGTGTGTTTTGACAGCTACCAGTTGTTGAGTGGATATAAGCCTGCTCCCATGGATCTGAGTTTTATCAAACTGACCCCCTCTCAAGAAGCTATGGTGGATAAACTAGCAGAGAATGCTCACAATGTGTGGGCAAGGGACCGTATAAGGCAAGGCTGGACATATGGTATCCAGCAGGTAAGTGCTAACTTCAGTCACTTGAAAAAGCATTTATCTATTGAGATATTTCACAGTTAAATGGGAATAATGGGGATACAAAAGCAGGAAGAAGCAGCTAATGACTGCAAGTCTGTCAGTCAAATAAAGCAAAAATACATAATTAAAGCAATCCTGCTAAATATTCTAGCAGTACGAGACTCTTCTTTTACAAGCAGTATTAAAAAATTGATGGTGTATTCTAGTGTGCTATCTAGATCTCAGGGTGAGAAAATTGCATGCAGGAAGCTAATATGCTCTAGTATTTTAGGAAATGTAAACATTGACTTTCAGTAGGGGAATCATTTAAATGTTTGCAGTCCTGGGAATTCAATAATTTTGTTTATCCAGGAAAATCAGAATGTAAACTTCTAGTAATCACTAATTGTTGTATTTCTGGCAGAGGCCATGTTCAACTGAGAATAGTTAAGTCAGTCTCTAAGTTCCAGTCCTACTTCAGTGGTTTTGTTTCAGTGAATAGGAATGCTACGTGGTAGGTATCACAATGTTTTACAAGGGAGGGGAGTAAAAATTAAGCATGGTGGATTGTTAACAGCAAAACTCAGGGTCTCTGTTTTCTTTTAAAAAAAAGTCAGTCGGGTATACAGTCAGCCTGATCTGTTATTTTTCAAGACAGCTACTATGTCAATTTTCCCTTAGGAGTCATATTTTCTATTCTTTTTGTGATTATTTGTGAATTTTATATAGAGAAAGGTGTCTTCGCATCTGTTAATAAATGTATGGTAACATATCACAGTGAAATTTTAGGAAAATTCACCCCCTGTGAAAAAAAATGAGTTTTCATGGGTTTGCGCTGAGCATTATTTTTGCAAATATGAGAAACAGCTGG